ATTGACATTACATGGAGCACCAAAATTAGCGATTTTTGAGCTTTCAGAACGCCATAACTTCCCAACGAAAAGTCAAATTGAAATTTGGTTTGCAGATTCGGATTCCTGAGAAAATTCTACCCTTAATTCATAACTCATAAGTTAAATTATGAGAAATTTTTATTTTGACCTACTTTACGGACACCATATCTCAAAAGTGGGTCAAAATACTTTCTGACGGCAAAAGGCTCTCACTATTAGCACACTCTTTCCTACCTGTATACAAAATTTTGAAGCAAATCCTAAAAGTGTAGTGCCAGAATCGCAAAAATAAGGAAAAACTATGAATTTGACCTAGATTTTGACCTAGGCATTTTGGTGTCCAAATTTTAAAGCTAGATAGCCTTCGAGGTCCCCTTCTTTTATAGGCTTTCAGAATGTTAAGCTGTACTCAGTTTATATCTGGTATTTTACACTTCAAAAAAATCTTTTTTCTCATTGACATAACATGGGGCACCAAATTTAGCGATTTTTGAGCTTTCAAAACGCCATAACTTCCGAACCGAAAGTCGGATTGAAATTTAGTTTGCAGATTCGGATTCCTGGGAAAATTCTACCCTTAATTCATAGCTCATATGTTAAATTTTGAGAACATTTAATTTTACCTACTTTTCGGACACCATATCTCAAAAGTGGGTCAAAATACTTTTTGACGGCAAAAGGCTAACACTATTAGCACACTCTCTGCTACCTGTGTGCAAAATTTTGAAGCAAATTATTAAAGTGTAGTGTCAGAATCGCAAAAGTAAGAAAATACTATAAATTTGACCTAGATTTTGACCTAGGCATTTTGCTGTCCAAATTTTAAAGCTAGATAGCCTTCGAGGTCCTCTTCTTTAATAGGCTTTCATTATGTTAAGCTGTACTCAGTCTATATCTCGTATTTAACACTTCGAAGAAGTCTTTTTCCCCATTGACTTAACATGGGGCGCCAAATTTAGCGATTTTGAGATTTCAAAACGCTGTAACTTCCGAACCGGAAGTCGGATTGAAATTTTGTTTGCAGATTTGGATTCCTGAGATCATTCTACACCTATTTGATAATTCACACGTTGAATTTGGAGGACTTTTTATGTTCTGACCTACTTTTCGGACGTCATTTCTCAAAATCGGTAAGAGTAATCAAAAAACGATTTGCCTTTCGGAATTAGCTTTTTATCTAAGCTACAAGATGAAAAAAAACCGGAGCCAAAATACCGAAGGACGACTGAGAAAACTTGTAAAATAGTGAAAACTAACGATTTGACCTAGATTTTGACGTTTGACCTAGATAAACATTTGACCTAATTTCCCAGAAACTAGGTCTCATTACCTAGTTGACTGTGTTAGCAGATTTAAGTAAGTCCTTCTAGTTGCTGAGAAAACTGGTTCGGAAAGAAAAATAATAATAACTAGATTGGTAAATTGAACAAAGTTCAATTTAAGACTCCAGATTGATTTACTTGAGTAAAGAGCTGAGTAGGACGCTGAGTATGTAGATGATTAAGTAATTGAGTAAGTAGCTGAGTAGGTAGCTAAGTAGGTAGCTGAGTAAGTAGCTGAGTAGGTAGCTTAGTAGGTAGCTAAGTAGGTAGCCGAGTAGGTATGTAGGTAAGTAAGTAAGTAGGAATTGTTGAAAGTATATTTGATGGATCTGCATTGTGGATACTGGCAAATGTGAATTTTAAACAAATGTGAATTTTAAAATGGCATAGAATCTAAACTGGGAGTCGGATTGAAAGTTTATTTGCAGATTTGGATTCCTTAGAAAATTCTACCCTTAATTCATAACTCATAAATTAAATTTGGAGAACTTTTTATTTTGACCTACTTTTCGGACACCATATCTCAAAAGTGGGTCAAAATACTTTCTGACGGCAAAAGGCTAACACTATTAGCACACTCTTTGTTACATGTATACAAAATTTTGAAGCAAATTATTAAAGTGTAATGTCAGAATCGCAAAAATAAGGAAAAGCTATGAATTTGACCTAGATTTTGACCTTGGCATTTTGGTGTCCACATTTTGAAACTAGGTAGCCTTTGAGGTCCCCTTCTTTTATAGACTTTCATTATGTTGAGCTGTACTCAGTCTATACCTGGTATTTTACACTTCAAAATTATATTTTTCCCTATTGACATAACATGGGGCCAAATTTAGCAATTTCTGAGCTTTCAAAATGCCATAACTTCCGACCTGGAAGTCGAATCAAAATTTGGTTTGCAGATTCGGATTCCTGAGAAAATTCTACCCTTATTTCATAGCTCATATGTTAAATTTGGAGAACTTTTTATTTTGACCTACATTTCGGACACCATATCTCAAAAGTGGGTCAAAATACTTTCTGACGGCAAAAGGCTAACATTATTAGCACACTCTTTGCTACCTGTATACAAAATTTAGAAGCAAATCATTTAAGTGTAGTGTCAGAATCGTAAAAATTAGGAAAAACTATCAATTTGACCTAGATTTTGACCTTGGGATTTTGGTGTCCAAATTTTGAAGCTAGGTAGCTTTTGGGTACCCTTCCTTTATAGGAATTCATTATGTTAAGCTGCACTCTGTCTATATCTCATATTTTACAATTAAAAAAAGTCTTTTTTCCCATTGACTTAACATGGGGCACCAAATTTAGCGATTTTTGAGCTTTCAAATCGCCATTTCTTCCGAACGGGAGGTCGGATCGAAATTTGGTTTGCAGATTCGGATTCCTGAGAAAATTCTACCCTTATTTCATAGCTCATATGCTAAATTTGGAGAACTTTTTTAGTTTGACCTACTTTCCGGACGCCATATCTCAAAATCGCTAAGAGTTATCAAAAAACGGATGGCACACTCTCGATTTGTTTTTTTCTAAGCTACATGTTGAAAAAAAGATGAAGGAGTTACCACAAGTAACAACGAAGATAATTGACAGAATGTTAATTTTACCTAAATTTGACCTAGTTCTTGACCTTTGACCTAGATGAAAATTTGACCTAATTTCCCAGAAACTAGGTTGATGGGCTATGTTAGCCATGTAAGTAGGTTAAAGTAAGTTCTTCTAGTTGCTGAGAAAAAGTGTTCGGAAAGAAAGAAAGAAAGAAAGAATGAATAATAACTAGACATGTAAATTGAACAAGTTCAATTTAAGACTCCAGATTTAATACTTTTTTTTAAGCTGAGTCATCCAGAATACTTGTAAGCTGAGTCATCCAGAATAAGCTGATCGAGTCAGCTAGAATTTAGACATTTAGACAACTCTCAATTTTTTATCTTCGACTCCATTGGCTTAACATGGGGATATCATCATATCGACTTTTCGAGACTTCAAACCGCTATAACTATCTAACCAGAAGTTAGATTGAAATTTGGTTTAAAGATTCGGACTCCTGAGAAAATTCTACCCTTAATTCATAACTCATATGTAAAATTTGGAGAATTTTTTATTTTGACCTACTTTTCGGACACCATATCTCAAAAGTGGGTCAAAATACTCTCTGACGGCAAAAGGCTAACACTATTAGCCCACTCTTTGCTACCTGTATACAAAATTTTGAAGCAAATCCTAAAAGTGTAGTGCCAGAATCGCAAAAATAAGGAAAAACTATGTATTTGACCTAGATTTTGACCTAGGGATTTTGGTGTCCAAATTTTAAAGCTAGATAGCCTTCCAGGTCCCCTTCTTTTATAGACTTTCAGAATCTTAAGCTGTACTCAGTCCTTATCTGGTATTTTACACTTCAAAAAAATCTTTTTTCTCATTGACATAACATGGGGCACCAAAATTAGCGATTTTTGAGCTTTCAAAACGCCATAACTTCCCAACGAAAAGTCGGATTGAAATTTGGTTTGCAGATTCGGATTCCTGAGAAAATTCTACCCTTAACTCATAGCTCATATGTTAAATTATGAGAAATTTTTATTTTGACCTACTTTTCGGACACCATATCTCAAAAGTGGGTCAAAATACTTTCTGACGGCAAAAGGCTAACACTATTAGTACACTCTTTGCTACCTGTATACAAAATTTTGAAGCAAATTATTAAAGTGTAGTGTCAGAATCGTAAAAATAAGGAAAAACTATGAATTTGACCTAGATTTTGACCTAGGCATTTTGGTGTCCAAATTTTGAAGCTAGGTAGCTTTTGAGGTCCCCTTCTTTTATAGGCATTCATTATGTTAAGCTGTGCTCAGTCTATATCTTGTATTTTACACTTCGAAAAAGTCTTTTTTCCCATTGGCTTAACATGGGCACCAAATTTAGCGATTTCAAAACGCTATAGCTTCCGAACCGGAAGTCGGATCAAAATTTGGTTTGCAGATTTGGATTCCTGAGGAAATTTTACACTTATTTCATGACTCATACGTTGAATTTGGAGAACTTTTTCGTTTGACCTACTTTCCGGACGCAATATCTCAAAATCGGTAGAAGTAATCAAAAAACTGATAACTCACTGTCGAATCGTCTTTTTCTTGGCTACACGTTAAAAAAAAAATTTGAAAAATATTGAAAAATGACAAAGATAATTCACAAAATGATAATTTGACCTAGATTTTGACCTTTGACCTAGATAAAAATTTGACCTAATTTCCGGGAAACTAGGTCTCATTACCTTTCTAACTATGTAAGCAGATTTCAGAAAGTCCCTCTAGTTGCTGAGAAAACGCGGAAAGAAAGAATAATAAGAAAACTGGCAAAAGCAATAGACTCCAGATTTTCAATCTGGAGTCTAATAATAAGAAAACTGGCAAAAGCAATAGACTCCAGATTTTCATCTGGAGTCTAATAATAATAAGAAAACTGGCAAAAGCAATAGACTCCAGATGAAATCTGGAGTCTAATAATAAGAAAACTGGCAAAAGCAATAGACTCCAGATTTTCAATCTGGAGTCTAATAATAATACATATTGGTAAATGAAACTTTTAATTATACAATCTAATTTTTAATCTGACGTATATTTTATGATAATTATACAGTTTTAAAATAGTGTTCTTTACCTGCCCCATAACAAAGGTGTAATACCAATGTTAAAGTCAAAATAGCGAGCATCTTCATTTTCGCACCTGGACAATAATCTCCTCCAATGAATGTGAAACTGTTGGACACGTATTGAAATCGAATTGAAATCGTATATATATAATATTGTTATATTAAAGTGTAATATTCTTAATAGATTTTATTAAAAACCCGCAGTTTGTCACAAAATATATGAAGTATATTCATGTTATTGAAAGCAAAACAAAGTATTAACATTCATGTGAATCGAAATATTTCTACGGGCATACGCATGATATTGCAATGGTGTAAAGTCAGACCAGTATATTTAATTTACACACCGTTCAAATGTACCTTCAAATACATTTTCAATGATATTTCAAAGGCTTCCCGCTCTTTCAATCGATAGAGACTTGTTATTTGCAGTAGTTGAGAAGAAATTACTTTATTTTACTTTCATCCACTTCTTACATTGACTTTTACATTGGAATTTTAATAAGCGCGTGCACCTTAATTTAACATTTTGCAAGTTTCATTATATGTGCTTTCTGGTAGAACCATATTGTTCTTATTTATAATTAATAAGAAATTCACATATTGAAAACAGCATATGAGATTAAAAATTGGTATAATTAGACAATAGTTTAAATATTGGATAGACGTCATCTATTTGGATTTTAGTTCGCTTGTCCTGGTTAAATTTAGTTAAAATGTGATTTTAACTAAATCTTATTTCAATTAAACCTCGTGTCCAAGTCTGTTGAATGTGTCAAACGTATACATATTATTATTTGATGATCGACTTGAACATATATCACGGTTAAAGCTATTGAACCTTTATAATAATGATATCAAATATTATGCAGGCAAATTAAAAATACTTCTAGATGGATTCAGGAAATCAGGGTCTTTCGTTTTGTGACCTTTAATACCTCAACAGGACTTCAAATTGGTTTCATCACACTACTGGAGCTGTTGTCTAAGATGATCATGAGAAATCATGTTTTCTATCCCTAAGTCAAAAGTTGCCCGCTTAATTTTTATAACATCTTCGAGGATTTCCATATCTTTTTCGTTTTAGACAGGTAAGACGCGCACGCGGGTATTTTATCCTAGAACTGTGGCATTCATTGACCTTACCCAAACAAATATTTTGATGTTCACAGATTGATCCAGGAACTCCGGAGAGGAGAAAATGCCCAAATAACTTGGACTTACATAGCAGCATTGCAGTGTTTTTTGCAAACGCTTTTCACTTTTCATTTGTTATGCAATCATTGACAGATCCAGATGTTGACAGAGTGAACTGCTTACTTAAAGGGTGACGCATATCGTTTAGCAAATCGAACGCTCGTTTCTGGTGTTGCTCACCGTTTAGTATAAAAGGCCCGATCCCGGAATAATACTCAAGGGTTCACAGGTTCGAGCTCGTTGTGTGAACAATTCTAACTGTTTAATATATAGCATAAGTATATTATAGATCGTCACACATTTATAAAAGGGTGATTTTTATTTTGACAAATCAATTCCACATTTATGGGTGAAGTTTCAGGATCTTCTATTTGTGTATAATAAGGAAAAATTGGCATCTAAATTTCCCCATAACGTAATAGCACACAGCTTGGCATATGAAATATCCTACAAATGAAACAAAGCAAGACAAACCGGTTTCTAAAACAAGGATTTATATTGGCTGTTGTACATGTATTCTTTGAACGCAATCACTCTTTGGATAACGTTTTCAAAATCATTATAAACGGATTACTTTATCTCAAAGACAATTTCAATAAACTGGATTTTACAGAACTCCCCTTATTTCTTAAAAATTGACTGATCCAGTTGATTCGCCTGGAGCCGCCATATTGTTTTTATACGGGATGCTAATCGGAACCCTTTAACTGTTACTGTAACTTATTTTATTGTTGACTGAAACTGCAGGTTGAGGTCAATACACAATCAAGTCGTGAAATGCTGAAAATAACTACTATATCATATACAACATAATTTATTTTTATTATTTGCTTTTATTTCGCTATTCATACAGTATTAATCGACTGTGTCCAGTTCGCTTGCAATTATTGTATCTTTGCCCTTGTGGCATTTGCGTCACATGCGGTGGTGCCCTTCAATGGACTAAATATGGCCTTGATAGTTTTCGGCAATTCTAGCGCAATCGTACGCATAGCCGCTGAAGGTGCGTTGCAGGCTTTTTCTAGTTCTGGGATCGTGTCTGAAATATAAAAATATTTTGGAGAATATTTTTTGAGAAATGTCGAGATGAATAATTTCGTATCGGAATATAAAACTTTAATTCAATACACTTCCTAAATCAACCCATTTCTTCGAACTGAAATTATAAGTGATTCAGAAATCAATTATTTGTTGATTGAGAAGTTACATTTGGGTTTTGAATTATGCTCGCAATAAGTTCATTGTTTTCGAAATAAAAATGTCATACTGATTTCCCACTGGTTGATAAATTCATCACATATATCCGTGACTTCTGAGTTACTATCAGCGAGGATCTCAGCTACACGACTATTTGCTGCAATCTCTAGTTTTTTCTCAGCTTCCCTGCTGCAAGTACGTTCAGCTGGAGAGAGAGCTACAACCCGAAACAATATAATCATCATTATTATTTGTATTACAATCATTACTACCAGATAATATAAAAAATATATTAGCGCATCTCGGGGATCTACTTTTGTACATTAAATTATCAAGCGAAAGTCATTTAATATAATTCTCTTCAAAATCACAAGTGATTGAGACACATGCCCCATCTATATGTTCAACAACTCCACCGTTCACAATATCTATTTTAGAACCTTTATTTATGATAAGCATTGTCATAAGTGAGTTTTCTTACCATCCATCGCCTGCATCATTTCATTCACCTTATTAACACTATCTGAAATGAATATAGAATATTTACCTCTTGCTCTAATGCATTGGTCACATTTGCTCCGATCCATCGGCCGGCGCCCGGCCGATTGAGTGTTTTGTTCAATATCGTATTCAATTTTGAACATAATACTCAATCGGCCGGGCGCCGTAGTGAAAATCGGAGCAAATGTGACCAAGGCACAACCGGTGTCCCTCTTAATTTAATACTGGAGGTTCTCTTTTGAACGACGTCTAAGCCTTTTCGTATGTTATTTACATTATCACAGGCTGGTATCGAAAGATTTGTCCGCTGTGACGGAGCATGCTATTTTTCATAAAAACACTAAGAATGCTTCACGATTTATTTTTTAACTCATATGTTTCGTTATATCAAAGATAATTACTTACTCCATGCAATGGATATATCATTTGCGTGTAACCTTCACTTCTGTTTGAAGTCCAATAACGCTAGGAGTAAAATCTATTGAAAACGACGCCAGAGTATCAAACTCTAAAATGTAGCATTTCTTTTTTAACTTTTTAATGGCATGATATAGTGACACGATAATATTAACATATGTTTTAAGCATAACTCTGAATGTATTAATGAGATATTAATGCATTGGGTCTTTTTAATTTTTTTAATAAAAAATAGTATTAATATTTTTTGTCCGCTGTGACGGAGCATTTTCAAAGTTCACATTTGCAACTGCTCCGTCACAGCGGACAAAAAAATCAAACATTATTTTTTATAAAAGAATTAAAAAGACCAAATACATCAACATCTCATTTATACCTTCATAGTTATGCTGAAACCATGTGTAAATATTATCGTGTCACTATATCGTGCTATTAGAAAGTTAAACAAGAAATGGTACATTTTGAAGTATGATACTCCGGCGCCATTTTCAATAGCTTTTCTTCCCAGCGTAATTGGACTTCAAACAGAAGTGAAAGTTACCCGCAAATGATATATCCATTGCATGGAGTAAGTAATTTTGCATGGTATAACGAAATATATGAGTTAAAAAATAAATCGTGAAGTATTCTTAGTGTTTTTATGAAAAATAGCATGCTCCGTCACAGCGGACAAATATTTCGATACCAGCCTGTGATTATAGTTATCTCACAAATTCATAGAATGAATCCACCGGACGTAGTAATATTATAAATTTAAAGTTCGTATATCCGTGGTTTGACCTAGTAGACAAGTGGTTGATGGAATACAGTTGAATCAAACTCGCAGCCTCAAATTGAATTAGTTAAGGTGTAGTTTTAATTTACCCTTTGCATTCGTTTGGCTTCACTTCTTAAAAGAGAGCTTCTTCTGCAGTTTATAACTAGCTTCTGCGCGCAGGGTAGGTGTAGTTGAAAATAAAGTCTTACTTGGTGTCAGATATTTAAAGATTTTCTCATCCACATTCAGACCGGGACATTCCTGTTCCTTTTCTTTCAATACAATTCCCCAGTGTATCAGCTCGTTCTGTATCAAGTCTGCAGAAATATCATTACCGCAAGAGGCGAGGGCATCGCTCCCACCATTAACTTCGGCCTGGATCAATTTCAATTTAGATGGTAAATTCATTAAGGTGTTATTAAACAAGAAAGTCAAAACGAAGCAACTTATAGTATTGAAACATATATTTTAAAAAATGATAACGATCCAACATCTAGACAAGGCATAATTAACATGAATATTGCCACCACCACCTGCCATTTGTTACGAACGCCGATCACCAAACACCACCCACAAAAAGTTGGAGACTATAACAACATGTCATCATCTGTGTACTGATAACCAGTATGGACAGAGGTGACGCGGTTTAGCCAAGCATATCTATCCAAAACGAGGCTGCAACGAGGTTAAGGTACATAATGGCGACTTTGGGAAAGTTTGAAATGGCGGTAAGTTTATCTATAAGTTACATGCACCAGTCTATGTCTGCTACTGTTATAATAGCATATTCCATTTAGTGGAGAACTTTACAGAGTATTCTATGTGCAGCTTCTTGAAATCTAGTCAATCACTACCAATAACCCAATTTGTATGAAACTCATACAAGTTCAAGCAAACTATCTGCTCTGTCTCGTGCTCAAGTTTGAGCAGCCAACTCCTCTTATTATAAAATCTAGAGCCAACGGTAAAAAACTTTTTGATCGGCACTTGTATAGCCATTTTTATTTTATGTTGTGTTGGAGTTGTTCAGAATGACTGACGATTTCATTTAAAATTCATCAAGCCTGAGTATAGTGTAGATTTTAAATCATTGTTAAACAGTATGTAACTTCAGCTCTATTCAGATATAAGATAAATCAGTAGAAAATGAAAACAATTTAATGGTCTACATACCTGTTTCATTCCACAGAAATCATTCATGGCTTGACTTTTAAATTGAGCCACCCATCCCTTCTCAACTTCTAGCATGATTTTCTTTTCACACGATTCAAATCCAGCTTTGAAAATAATAAAAATGTTCAAAAACAAAAGCCTAAATCATATAATCTATTTTTAAAATACAATTTTCACATGTTTTAAAAATACAATTTTGATAATCTTCTTTGCCTGCCCCGTGGCAAAGGTTTAATATTAATGTTAGAATCAAAATCAAGCATCTTCATTTTTACTTCTGCATTAAACTATAAAACTCCAATGACAGGGGCGTAGCCAGCTTTCAGTGAGGGGGGGGGGGTGCGATCGCCAAAATATCCGTTTTCAGTCAGGGAGGTGCAATCGTGGTATAAGAAACCCCAAAAATTGAAGATTTGTTTTGAATTTTACAAAAATTGATGCAACTTCCTTCAAAATTGGCTAGAAACTTCAAATAAAAAGCATTTTAAAGCTCTTTTCTTCTTCTATCTAATGTACCTATTTTATTTGCTATGGGGGGGGGGTGCGATCGGACCCTCGCACCCCCTCCTGGCTACGCCTATGAATGAATATGAATTTGCTACAGTATTTGACACATATCTCCAAACTTGACTGGAAAGTACTTAATAACTACATGAAGCAATTAACAGAAATATTGCTGAAAAACAAGTTAGAGGCCTATGAAAAATATGGGAGGCAATCTTAAGACAAATTCTCTAGCAGTAAAAGCATGGTAGACCCATTTACAAACACAAGATATTGTAACAAGCTAAACTTTAATTTGGGACATTATTTGCTATGTCAATTTATAATGTGACAAGAGATTAGATTGTACAATAAAGTGTATAGAGGAAATTAAGATGATAAAAACATTTGTCCTTAATTCCTATATTCTAGATTCAAGAAGACACAATTTCTAACATCTATATTATTTTTAAAGTTGTATTCAAAGCACGCTACTTTTATTTAGATCTGATTATTAGTCCCGAGCCCGACAAATGTTTTTCACAGATCGGGATATGATGAATCGAAGATACAGGTGTTTGACTTCGTGACTATCCCGCGAGCCCTATAAAATTACGTGACAGTGTATCTTCGATTCATCATATCCCGATCTGTGAAAAACATTTGTCGGGCTCGGGACTAATAATCAGATCTCTTTTATTTAACTATTGTAAAACTCACCAGCAGCTTCGCGACGAACACCTCCCTGGCAGATACTGAAGAGCAAAACTGCGCATGTCAAAGTCAGAGTTGTCTTCATGGTTGTCGTTAGGCGTTTGTGCTCTCGTCAATGGTGAGAATATTTCGATGTGGACACTCGTGGGTTTTTATATAAAATTATGATGATAAATTGATGCGTTCAAATAAATAATGCATAATGTGTTTTTCATTTCTTTACTTATTGATATGGGTAAGATGAATACAAGACGATTTGTCGCATATTTTGCATTGCTTTTGGTTTTGTAATGATCTGGGACAAATTATTAAATTGTTATTATGATTTTTACTCTTATTACTAGATATTTCGAATTTCATCTGCAGCAATAAAACTGCAATTGAAATATTAGATGGAATATGTTTACATTTTGAAAATAAGCATGTTTTACATACTTTTTATGTAGTGGTTATAAATAGCAAATAATTCTACATGTTTTTAAAAGAATATAAAATGCCAATGATATTAGAGTTCAGGCATTATGTACTACTTTAAAGATAGTATCCGATCTAGCGAGCAACCTAACTTGAACAAAAATTTTTGAATTCCAAAATTTAGGCTCGTCATTCTTTGTCATGTCTTATATCTTCCACCCAAACTATATTTTATTTGAGGATAGCTAAAGAGGGTATTCAGTATTTTTGTGGTCTGTTTGTTTTGTGACGGCGGTTGGTGGTTGGCGTCTGTAACATATTCTTTCAACTTCCAATAACTTAACAAATACTTCAGATTTTTTCAAAATCATTTACAAGTTCTCAGAGTTCAAATCTAACTTTTTTCAACTTGCCTCGAATTGAACAATTTTTTTTTAAAAAATCAAATTAAATGTTCAAATTTTACTAAGATTGAACTCATGATATTGTGAGCAACTAGATAGTGACATTTTTTCATGTTAATGTCTTGTTTTAAATTAATGTGTTTGGAAGAATTTAAATCAAGATACGAGTACAAGCGCTCCATGGCGGACCCGTATTAAATCCTGCTATAATGTTTGTGCTACAGTAAAACATCGGGTGCAATTTTGCACACAGGTGAAATTTCATGAACGTATCTTTAATATTCGTGATCAAGTTATTGGAATTGACATAGGGGTCATTCAAAATATTATGCACCTAATATTTTCAAATGAAGATGCAGTTGAAGATGAAGTTGATGTGTTACTGTTTAAATATATTGTTATAGAATATTTGATTTTTGGTTTATTTTCGTATTTTTGGTAGATGTTTTTCTATATATTCATTTAATTTTTTGGTTATATAGTTGGAACTCACTGATTCATACACGTAAGCAATAACTTCGTATTCCCAATGTTCAAGCACGATAAATGGTTCATACCCTTTCTATACAATTACGTAATCCACTAGGCTCTTACCCATCAGACTAAATGATATCTTCCTTCACGTTCCAAGCTCTTACCCCCAGACCTCATGGTTAACGATTCATACCCTTTTCAATAGTTCTATCAGCCTTATATAATAAGCTCTGGCACTCAGGCTACTCGCAACCTCGTGGCTACGGTACCCATTCGCCTAGTTCACAAACAATAGAAACATATTTAATATCTTCTTTCAATAATAGTATCTCATTGAGGGCTGTAAAAGGTGAATTGATACTGAAAAAATGAATAAAGTGTGCATGGCCGCTTACCAAGTAAAAATACGACGCCTTCGCGAGTCAGGTTCTAATTTTTATCTCATTCTCCGAATCCATCGATTGTTGGGTTCCTGAATATTTCGCAGATCGATCCTGGATTTGCGTAAATGTAGTGTCTGGAATATGCTCTATCGGCAACGTCGCTACCGTTTGAGGTAATCCAAACCATTCTCTTCTAAACACTTGCAACGGTGGACTTGAATTATGGCTGACATGACATGGAACGCTTGGATTGACTCGCTCATCAGCAATTCGAGGAACCTAAAGGGCGAGCCACAAATTGACAAGGCCTGCATCATTGGCTTGAGGGACGGCGGACTCTGGCATCGTGCGGATCATCCAAATGCCCTGATTCTCAAAGAAGAAGAAGCAAATAAAATTGCAAGGGTTTTCAGAGGTATGCTATTTTTTAGTTTTAAACTGAAGAATACATTATTAAAATTAGTATAGTTCTTTGACAGTAAGTATCTTGAAGTACCATTACTGTTAGCTCATCTTCATCAAGAACGTTTTAACAGTCCATGACAAGGCAAAATAAATATGTTAACTACTAATGTTTTAAGGCACTTGGTGACCTACCTCTTCAAACGATTTAGATCGAGGATGGTCATTTGCGAAATAAAAACGCACCTTACAGAAATACTACAAATGTTTCCTTATGAAGCTTGTGCTTGGTATTGTCGAAGAATCGTAAATTAAAAAAACAGGTCAACGTTCCTGGCAAATAGGTCAACATATTTTGCATTTATTCAACATTGGTCACATAAGCTGTATATTATATTTCAGGAAAGGAAATTGCACCTTTTGTGAACGATGGTATTCCCATTGCGGGCCATGATTATGTTTATTTTGATGGCGATGACGTAGTTGACGTCGTGGCAAAAGGTCGAAACGCATCCGAGGACGGCATCTACTTATACACGTCAAAGACAGCCATCGTCATTGGCCACTGTCCCAGTATGAACGACCAGACCCTAGCTGATAAGACTATAAGTGATATCGCTCAGAAACTGAAGGACTTGGAGCTATAGAAAAACAACGTTTCTAAATTGATTCACCCTGGATTGTATTTCATAATTGGGTCTCAGGTATTATTCTTACCTGAATGCAAAACGATGAAGTAATGTGGGGTGTATATAGATCTAAAGGACAGAGACAAAACGTCATTAATAATTAGGTGCACCCTTTCTAGTAAAGCACAAGTAATAATCCATGATGAGAGATTGGAATTCGAAACTTTCACAATAGAAAAGAAAAATGCTTTGTTAATTGAACAATGTAGAATACATGATTTCAGATAGATTTGCAATATCCTGATATATGTTGGGCTATACATGGTATTCATAAATCGCAATGTATTATTGTTGAATAGATACTATTTCTAATATTTCAAACGTTCAATGTCGATTTGCGATGGAACGCTTGTCATCTTGTCGCTTGTCAGTTTAAGAGCGTCTGCCTGTATTTTCGTTCTCCGTCTTTGTACAAGGGTCGCCAACTCAGCTACTTGGCTCCATGGTCAAATGTCAATCAAAGGGCATGTGATACACTGGCGAATCTGTGGGGGGGGGGGCAGGGGCTCAAGCCCCTTGCGTGGGCGCAGAAAAAATGGGCTCAGACAAATTTCTGAGCCCGAAAATGACCCCGATTAATGGGCCTTTTGAACTAAATTGGCCTTTTAAGGCTTTATTTTTTATAATAGGCCAAATTATTAAGAAAATGGGCCATTAATTTTTTGTCAGACTTCAAATACATCCCCTCCCACCTGTTAGTTTCCGGATCCGCCCCTGTGATAGTTCAGCATGAAATTCGTGTTAAGGTCACTGATTATTCGGGCCAACACCAATGATAGTACAGATTGTGGCTACCATGGTTCCAACTCGATATTCTACCATATATGGAGTCATGCCGTAATTACAAAATTACAAATCAAACAGGCGCCATTTTTCTCTTTAGAATTTGAATCGCTAGTTCTGGTCTTATTTCCAAACAAAAAATCGAAACACGCAAGTGACCATCTTTTTGGAGGCCAAGGTCAAATTAAAAGGTAAATGTCATTGTTAACATCATTGGTAACGATATTATGCAGACTGATACATCACGGGGTTCATTTCTCTGAGAAATCCTGCTGATCAATATTTACCAATGTGAGATCGAAGGCTATAATGACCTTTCACAAGGTCACAATGAATTCACAAAGAACAATGAGCTTACACAACTTACTGTCTGCGTTATTCAAACTGGACAGCAATTATTGATAAATCAATCAAACTTTTCAATTACGAAATGTAATTAATCTCTTAATGTTTCTATCGTGAGTTGATTATGCATATATGTAAATATCCAAATCATTCATATCAAGTTAATATAAATATACTCAATTAATTTATAAATTGACGGAGGCTGTAATATTTGGAATGTCTCACTTATGCATTGTATTATTTCTAGTAGCGTAAATATCACTTGCTACAAATGGATATTCCACGATCTAAATATGAAAGCATCCATTTAACTCCCCTTCAAACAATCGATTACTCATTCACTTAACAAATGACACCATCCACTCGCTCACCAACGGCCACTCACTCACCCATCCACTCACTTTTAACCAACCCACTCAAGCACTAAGTTACTCAATAACCCACTCACTCAATTATTCACTGAATCACAAATCAACTTACTCATCCATTCACTCAATCAGATATCCAAAAGTATCTGTACACAAATTTGACAGCAAATTCTTATAAAATCTCTATATCAAATATACTTTGTGAACGACAGAGACTACATGTAGTATTCTGTTCGAGGTAGCCGTTGCCATGCGCGCGTCTAGTTATAAACTCTTTTAGAAGCGACGTCGAACTAGTAGATGGCCGTTAACATGAGTTGCCGATTAACTCGAATATTCCATTTAACATTATTATTGTTACCCAAAATATGCAAACAGCTCACTCCTTGGGCAAGGGTTATTCAATGATTCTGAAATAACTGTTATGAAAAGTTAAAAAACTTAGAGTTAGACCAATCAATATTTTCCAACTTAGATATGGGATGTTCGATGTATAGATAAAAGACTCGGGCCTGTCAGATGACGGGGTGCGCTGGGTAGCAGCAGCCCCGGGGCAGCAGCCCACCTCGCAATCCTCTCAGTCAGTTCCCGAAAATAACCAATAAGTTGGAATTCATGAATCGGTCAAATATTTTCTTCTGATTTAAAGGTGTCACGTCAATCTACAAATAACCTGACATCTTTTTACACATGAATAAAATAAAGTGACCTAGTTGCAGGCAGAGGTAAGTAATAACATTGTGAGATCCCTTGAAATAGAATCTTTACAAGCTTTAGATAACTTTTTCATTTGAATTGAATGAATGACTCAAGTAAACTCATTGACTAAGAGGTACATGCTTTTTGATGTATTTTTTATTGATTGTGAGACAAAGGCTTTATTTTTCCGAGATGTCATTTTCTAGATTTGCAAGCATTTTGACCAGATTCATTGGGTTATTGAAAAATTAACTGAAACATCCGAAAAATCGTAAAAGCTAGACGGAGCTTATCCTGCTTGTTGAAAGTCGTTCCACCACAAAAATTCGGCGAATATTTTTGAACAATTAAAAAGATAACAATAAACACTCTTTAGACTTTTTATAGCTTTATTCTTACATCGTATACAACATATCACATCTATATGGGATGGTTCATCGGACGGACATTTACATGATAACCTGCTCATCATCTAGTTTGCACTCGGGGAAAAGAGTTAAAAAATAGCTGAAAAAGAGGCTAAATAAAAGTTATTTATCACTCGGCTAAACATAGATCCTTTATCAATCAGAATCACTTGGAAGTTGTGGTAATTTATCTAGGAATGTATTGAACATCTTATTGGGAAGTGTGGACAACCGTTTATGTGTCAATCCTTTCTGGGAAAACTGTAGTATACTACTCAGGTCCACTTCGTCGCTTATGTTTTCCTTAAGATTTATCAGTGCGTTCTCGTTCGTAAATTGATTATTTGAAGATTGAGCAAGTTTTCCTGTTATTGGGTTTTCTTCTTTCAGTCTCCATTCAGCTTTGATTTTGATCTTTGTTTTTATATCATCTACAACTCGCATACAATCATCAATGAACTCATCATTGTCATCGCTCCTGTTTTTACTGTTTAACAAACGAGAGATGCTCTTGTGGTGACAAACAATACATATACTCTTCAGCTTATGTGAGCTTTTACTGATATTGATGATATTGTGTTGATTGCCTTCATTGATGGCATCATCGGGAACCTTGATGATTTCTATTTGCTTCGAAGTGATGCAGACAAGGGCTGATGTAATGGCTGCAATTTCTTTATCCTCTGGGGCGAGTCTCTTACATAACCAGCTACCAATAGTCTTTGGGAATGTCTGGGTGAAATATTTCCCACTCTTATAGAAAAGACACCCGCATCTATCCGCATGGACATCTGTGTATAAAATCTCTTCGTATTTGTTACATAGCTCTGATACATCTAATATTTTCGCCTCATTTTTGTAACGGAATTTAGCTGAAACAAACAGATTTTCACAATGAATAATTAATTTGATTTATTAATCAAATTGATCAATAGAACAGTTTTACGTCCTCTTTTTCTATATTTGCTTATAAATATTCCATTATTTCTTATTCATATTGTATATTGTATTTATCATTTTTTAAATGGAGAATCTAAAATAACTCTGTTTTCTTAATTCTAGTATTTTTCTGCATTAAGCACTACATCATGCACCACTAGACAGCTAAATGGGGCTAAATCATTTGAAGGTATATACATAAATAACACATTCAATTATCTTTATGAAGTACGAAGTTTTCAGAAAACTGATCCCTACATAGGCGTAGCCCCCTCCCCCCTTATAACCAATAAAAATAGAGGAAATGAATAGAAGAAGAACTGAAGAAAGGAACTTTAGAGTGCCTTTTATTTTTTATAAATTTCTAGGTTTCAATTTTTGTAAAACATATTGGTAATCGCACCCCCCCCCCCACCCTGACTGAAAGCTGGCTACACCCCTACCCTAAAAAGGACTTTCAAAGTTATTCAGGAACATAACCACACTTGACTCGAAATGAATAAGACAAGAAAATTATTGATATAACAAAAGAACGTGATTTTCGAAATGATTTATCTCTGGATTCCCTGTCCTCATGTCTCATGACATGTAGCTGCAATTCTAAGAAAACATCCATTACCTTTCTTTTTCGAGCTCTTGACAGGCCTAGATATTGAACCAGGAAAGAACCTGTATTGAATCTGTTCCACCAGGACCACGAGAATCCACCGTATCAGGAGCATTACACTTATACCTATTGTGCTACATATTCCAATCCTCACTACAGATATAACCACATCTACGATCACAGGCCTGAGTGTCATTTTGTGTAAAATGTATTCCCAGCTACCTTTGCAATCCGAGTTAATTGATTATTTCATAAATATGGTTCAATTTCTAGGAAAATAATGTTGCAACCGAGAAACGATCCTTTTATGGTGTGTCTGGGAACACATGTTTTATAAATCACACGTTAAATACTTTGTTTTTTAAAAAGTTGTTCGTTTCTGCTGTTAGCTACATTTTTTGTTAATCAAATATCTTCTATCTGTGGGGATCCCAAGAGCCATGTAAAAATTTGCAATAGTTGTATCCTAATAATGTTTACTATGGTTACGATCGATACGTTTGCGGGATTTCTGCATAATCAAATATGAATGCAACTACAACAGGTAAAAGGAAAATCGATGCAATATCAATTTGTCATACCTTTATATCCATTTGGGATCCATTTTGAGAAATTACGGGTTCATACAGTCATTGATAGTTTCGATACACTACTGACTGATAGATGTCATACACGACAGTGCTGGGACCTCTTTTTTTGCACTGTTGGCTTTTCCTGAATTGCCACTGAAGTGAACGACTCAAATATTGGTGATTGTGTTGTTTATATTTAATGGTAAATGATCCCAACGAACTCAGTTCGATAAGGATATGATGTAGCCTACCTCTGTCCGTCTGTCTATCCGTTCGTCCGATGAACGACTCAAACATTGGTGATTGTGTTGTTTATATTTAATGGGTAAAAACTCAGTTTTTCATTTTATGCCTTTATATTTTATAATTGCATCAATTCCTAACATATCCATTAAGGTAACAAAGAGACAAGTTTATGGTAACTTTCTGAAAAATGTTATGTCACTCACAAGACTTTCAGACCATGTAATAAATGTTTTGAGCTAAAAAAGAAAATTCTGATTTTTTAAAAAAAATTGATGGTGTTATATCAGATTCGTACAGTATTCAGTTCAAGATTGCAAACCTAAATATCAAAAGCTAACTGACAAATACCAATGGAAGATGTGCAAGGGTACATTAAAATTAGATTTTTAAAAACTTTTCAAATCGATGCATATATTTGGAAAATGTCAAATATTTCTTGTGATTGAGGAAAAATAACTTATCAACATGTTTAATTTGCATCGTTATTACGTAATCGGTACAAAGTACTTTGGTATATTCTGCGCTATTTATTTGGTGAAATTATTTTGCGATGTTACACACATGTTGTCTTAAAACAAACTACTTTAGAATTTGTTTTGTCAACTACATTCAATCCTAAAAATGGATGGACATGGTTTTACCATGGTTTTACGAATATTTCTTACTATCGAGACCCCATATTTCTTATGCCGGATAATTTTTAGACTTTCGGGGCTCAAAATCACAAATGTTTCCCAGAACCAATAAAACTAAATTTGGCCAAAAAATCATAAATTTTCAATGTTTAATCTGAACTTGATTTCAGACACTAGTCACCCAGCAAACACACTCATACTGGTTGGTTGATAATCTGTATCCTTGAACAAAGGATCTAAAAAATTCTAGCTGGTTTAGAGGTTCTTGAAAACGTCATGTCCTTATCTGAGGTTTTCTGAGTAAACATGCGGTTGAAATTGCTATTTGTGAGTCATCCACTGGTCAATTTAAGGCCATGTTACTAAGGGACTTGACTTACCTTAGTTTGATAATCGGTCAAAAGATTCATATGATCTTCAGTTTTGTTGATACTGATTAAAATATATTAGATATCATTTCATTGACGTCATTTTTCGCACCTATTTTCGCCAACAAGCTTCTTCCGTACAACAACCATTATCATAATTTGATGAAAACTACAAAAATAACAATAAAACAATTAATTCTACAAATAAGACCAGATATTCGATTTGCTGAAAATGATTAGAACAATCAACCGATATCGATAATACAAATAAACCCTCGGTGACAGTGACTCCGGGACTATGAGCCGAGCGTGTAGTATCCCCTTATCAATAACGACCCGGCCATTCGGGGACAAGCGCCGCGAGTTCAACAGTTCAGCATGGACTCATACAACACACTCCCGTAGCTGCCTTACTAACCCATCGATAGCATAAGCAGCTTCTTTTCCAATATGAAGAAGGTCATGTAAAAAATGGTTCTGCAACAACAGGAGCTGTTATTAAATAGACCATGAATCACGCCAATCGAAAGTATTGAATGTATAAAAAATCAATTGTTCGTGAATCATAAGATAAGAATCATGAAATGATAGCCGTTTGGTAATAATCGCAATGCATTATGGGAAGTTGGATACCTCGACTGTTGGTTGTATTTAAAGAGATAGGGGTCATCCTCAGGTCAACCATATAAAACACATTTACTCCACAACTATTTATTATACACCTCTCGCTAAAACAAAGGGATGCATCGGATTAGATTGTGATCCGCAATCGAATTATTTTGAAATATGATCAGGATGCATGAGGCGCACTCGCTAGCTTTACGCGAAAATATTCGAAAATTAGTGTTTTTAGAATAGATATACTCATGCCACATATAGAGGAAATGGTAAAAATCGATCTCGAATATAAACAACAAATGAAGGACGAATGAATATATATTGGGTAAACAGGACAGTGAGTCCTTGCAGTTAGACATCCAGTACTTAGTTGTAGGATGTGACTCACTTATAACTGAAGATACATTGAAAATGCTTTGTTAACACCGTCTATGGAATGGATGATATTCGGCTGAAGATATTTGATGGATGTAACACACCATAATTCCTTGGTAAGTACAATTCATAAGAACGCTCGAATTTGACTAGTTTTCTAAAGAATTTGTATCTAAACGTGTATTAAATAATATATCTGTAAATATAATCAAATCATTATTCGACAGAGATAAGGTGTCTTAACGGCAATAGCAGTGAACACGTGTCAAGAATATCTTGAATGTTATTGTAAAGCTTACATCACGCCACGGGCCTTATGGAATCATCAAATTGAAAAAAATGTACAGCATCCATACGAAAAGGTTAAGGCAGATCTGTATGTCTAGAAATGTGTTTACTCATTTTCATGATTATAATTACTGGTAATCAATGAAAGGGGTAATATTTTTCACATTTATATGTGTATTCTACTATAATATGTAAATGTCAACATTTATTGTGAAAAAATATTACCCAATTCATTGATTATCATGGGTAATCATAATCATGAAAATTAGTAAAAATTATCAACTTACGGACCTACCTTAATATCAGTAGGTTACTTGTATGAGGAGGTGGAAATCATTGACGTAGTGGCTTACTTTCATTTAGCAGATAAACTTATTTTCGAGTCACTTAATCAACATGTTTACAATACGAATAACATAAACTGATGTGAACTCTCTTATTGTATACCCCCATATGTCATTTCAATGATATGACAATGTCAATTCAATGTGATGTTGTCAATTCAATAATGGTGATAATGTCGCTTTGAAGAATCATGTGATATGTGTATAAGTACTCTTCACCATAGTACTCCTTTCTATGGTAAGTGTGAGAATGTAAATTTAAGTTTTAAAAATCAGCTGGATCATTGCCTAGATTTTTTCTATTAAATCTATTATGTCAGAATCTCTTAACACTTGTCAAAGTTAAATCAATATTCCTGCCCTCGCATGTGCACTTTAGAAAATGTGGTAAATAATTTTAAGTTAAATTAAGAATGATATACTTTTAATGTTGAAATTACTGAAATTAATGATTTATAGATCAATATTATCAATTACTTGATACTTCTATTTGATGACCTGATGACACTGTGTCTAACCCCAATCAAAGGAGACCTCCAAACTCTCATTAATCAATTTAAAAATGGTTGTTTCTCTGGTACTAATGATACTTATTTTGAGAAAGAATAATACGTTTTATAATATATATGGTGGAATTAGTGGTGCATTTTAACATGACCTCGTCTTGCCTGTACTGGCTTATAACTAAAGGTCGTTGTTCCCTATTTGCTTCTGAATCTCATATAATTCATTATTGAACAAAAATGATAAAAATTATGGACTGACACGTCGATTATGTCGATAATGTCAATAATATTGTGAGAGTTCCTAGTTAACATAGTTTTAGCTACAGCCTGTACCAAGTGAACCCTCTTTCGCTTCCGTGGCTGCTCACAATGAAATTAAGGCGAAAAATGGGTGCACTTTGAAAAAATATCGATATCCTTGATTCTGTATTTGTAGAGATAATTCACAATAATACACGCAGAGTTTAATCAGTAAGCAATATCCAATGTATCGTGAGTCAGAGTCGACAGGTTCCGGGAGCATACTAACCCGATATTCTCTCAAAACATAGCACAGATATTAGGACATGTTTTTATTAGCCTTGCCTCTGAAATTGAGTAACCTTTCGTTAATGAAAAATACAATTATAGTTTTGTCGTCTTTTATCTTAGAATAATAGGTAATATGTGTTAATCCCCCACACCAAGTATGTACCCCATGAACTGACATTATTATATCGAACTATGCCTACATCGAATCCGGGCATCGAATTGCCATAAAACATAATACTTCTTTCAGTTTTCTATCATGATCAAAATTACATTGTTCGTTGCATGTGTGGAAACGGGGTGCAAAGAAAATTAAAGGTAGTATCAGATCTAGCAAGTAGTAGTCAGAGTACTCTTGACAAAAATTGTTTCAATTCTAAAATATTTTGGGCTCATACCATTCCTTGTCATGTCTATTTTCTAAAAAATCCCCGACGTGAAAACTTTTTTGACGAAAACTAAAGGTTTACAATAATGCACTCATTTTTCTATAAGTATGGTTACCACATTTATTATTTGGGACAATTTAAACATTTTTTATTCCCAATATTTTAACTATGAAACTTTTTTTTTTTTATTCCTTTTTTATTCATAGAAAACATTTGAAACTTAAACAACTTCCCCAACTGGTAACCTATCTTTTGGGAGATGTTTTATTAGATTGTAAGTAATGATGCTTGTAATTTTGTCATCCCTGTAGACCTGCCTTTGTTTTGTTTGGCCCTTTGGGCCTTTCTAGACCCCATTCAATCCCCATTCATTTTAGACCTCATTCCTAGGAAAATAGACCTTCCTTAG